GGGGCAGATGCTCAATGCAGGAGCTGCCCCCTGGTGGTCACGTGTTGCTCCCACAAGGGGAGCGCCGCTCAGCCAGAAGCTGGGCTCACGGCTGGCGAACACAGCAGTGGTGGCGGGAGCCTCTCCCACCTCCGCGGCAGCACTAAGGATGTCTGACTGATAGCTTAGGTCCACTCCTCGCAGGCCTAAGCCAGCAGTTGGACATCCCCGAAGGGCTCCCGGACTGTGAGAGGGTGCAGGCCAGGCTGAGGGAAACTCCCCCCCCCACCCAAATGCATGAATTTCATGCACCGGGCCTCTAGTTCAGTCATAAAAAAATGATGAAATCTTGCCATTTGTGACAACGTGGATGGACCTTGAGGGCACTATGCTAAGTGAAATAAGTCAGATAGAGAAAGACAAATACTGTATGATCTTTCGCATATGTGGAATCTAAAAATAAAACATTAAAACAAGCTCATCGATACAGAGAACAGAGAGTTAGTTGCTAGGGGTGGGGGATGGAGGTGGGAGAAATGGGTAAAGAGGGTCAAAAGGTAAAAAGAAAAAAGAAATACTGTGCATTACTGAGCAACAACAACAATAACAACCACAACAAAAACAAATCTAGCCCAAATAAAAAAACAACCCTATTAAGATGATAAAATGTTAATTAAAAGAAATCTCAACTCTAGTCAGTAGAATTAGAAATACAAATAGTTAGTAGTGAGGCGGTGAAAATTCATGTTCTCTACTGGTGCTTAACCAAGCAAAACTCATTTGTCATGGAGCTAGTTACTGAGGCATCAACTAAGCAGCTGGCCTCTTTTGCTGTTTTTCAAGTTCCTGTTAAGTAGCTCCAGAGAGTAGCGGCTTTGAGGCTCTTCTTCAATACTTTTCGCTGTTACTGAACTTCTTTGCTCATTAATTTAGCTTATGTCGTAGGGAACAAATTGGATGAACGATATTGGGGAAACTCTATTTATGAAGTGCTCCAGAAGGGCTGTATTGTGGAATAAAGGGCCTATGCCCAACTAAAGCCATTTAGAGTGCCTTCCCAGCCTGCTGGGGCACTGCTCAGCTGGTAAGGTCTCTATGCTGGGAAGGCACAGAGGGAAAAACAGAGATCAGAGTTACTTAGACCTAGATCCCAGTCCTGACTTTGCCACCAGCTTTCTGTACAACCTTGGGCAAGTCATTTTTTTTTCTGGGCCTCAGTTTCTCCATATGCATAATGAGGTTTGGGGCTCTTTCTATTATGAGATTTCTCTGATTACTGGCTAGGCTCATCATTCTCCAGATATCCTCTTTCCACTCCACTTTTTACATTACTCCAGTAAAAACAAGCACTACAATTGGGGGTGGAGGGAGTTCACAATTTTGTTATTTCTAACTTCTAGTATTGACTCATCTAAGAACGTGTTGGCCAAGTTGTAGTGATTTTGCCTAAATAAAAGTATCCAATTATTTGACATTTGATATGCAGCATAAACCCACAGTATGACTATATGGTTCCTTCCTGCATTCAATGAACATTAATTGGACATTTTCTTTGGGCACCAATACTGCTGGTGAGAACACATAGTCTTACTATTTCATAGTATTAATAAGACATATACACAAATACTTATATGTGACATTTATATAATGCTTACGTAATAGGAAAACCAAGCACTGTGCTAAGTACTTTATAGGTATTGATTTATTTAATCCTTCCAATAACCCAGGGAGCTAGGTCGTAACCCCTTTTTTAGGTGAGAAACCCACCCCTCAGAAAGGCACATAATTTGCCTGAGTACTATTAGTGACAGAGCTGCTTATTCAGAACAATGGGCTTAACCTCCATGCCTCACTGTTTCCTAATTTGATTCAAGACAGTATAAGTTAGGTGTTAGAAGTGCAAATCAAATGATATATGGACCCAGGTAAGTGAGAATTTGCTTCTGGAAGCCCAGTGAGGAAAAAGTGTGGGCCTTGAAATTAGGCAGGCCTGAAAAAATTACTTAACCTCTATTAGCCTCAGTTGCCTCATCTGTAAAATGGGGCTGATAAGGAATAGAACTACTTCATAGGTGTGGGGATTAAATGAGTTAATATATGTAAAGTATTCATAACAGTACTTGACACATGGCATATGCTCAATAAATTTTAGCTATATGATCATGTGTGGGGACATGCAGAGAGAAATGGGCTGCAACAGGGTTGCACTCTGAGGCTTCAGTGGCTGAACTTGCATGTTAAAAGTTGGGTTATAAGTTGCCAGAGGGAATCCCTTTTGAGTTGACTTTGAAGCACGGTGGACTCTATGTAAAGCAGTGATATGAAAGTCACTAAAGTGTCTCCTTGCTCAAAAGAGTGGAACTTGATATTACCTTAGGGTAGGACATTGTGTCCCAAAGGCCCTGCTAAAATGAAAACTATACCTGGGAGGCAAAACCTCAAATCACTATTATTAACTCCCTAGTTCAAGTGTATTCATCAGATTAGCTCCAGCAGAGATTGGCACTTTTGGGAAATAAGACAGGGAAAGTGTAGCTCTAACAACTTAGCAAATAGTTTCTATACACCCTCGTGAAGGTATCATTGCATATTAATGTTTCTATTAACTTAGTTATGGGGGACACTCATTTGGGGGTGCAGGGATTGGAGCATCATGGTTCCTAAAAATAACCTTACAAGGGTTTATTCCCATTAGCGCAGTGATTTCAGGTACATTATCTCATTTAATCCCAGAGCAACACTGAAGGGGGAAAGGCGGAGATGACCATTTCCATGAGACCTGGTAAGTTTAGGTGATGACAGTATGGCCCTATAGCACACAAGAGTGGAGACTAGAGGCCAGGTGGTTTCCCTCCTGGTTGGAAGATTCTTTCCAGGGAAATAACATGGGGAAGATGATCTCATCCTCCAATGCCCGCTGTCCATAACCTGGGCCTTATGAATGAAGATGCTCTGCTTCACATCTCTGCCTTTTTCCTACTGGAATGTAGCTAATGAGCCACAGGCTATTAACACGAACCCTGTTTTACTCCCTTCCCGCTACCTTGATTTAGGCAAAAGGGATGTTTTTGAAATTTTTATTCATCTATTCAAAAGTTTGTATTGAGCACCATGTCCCAGGGGATATGGTGATATAGCTGTGAACAATGTGGAGAGCCCTCTCCTGTGGAGCTGACAATTATGGTGGAGACTGATTGTAAATAAATTGTGCATGTGCTGGATTGTTTTAACATTTCAAACATATTTTAAATGTGCCATGGTCTCTCGTATATTTTTAAAATATATATTTTATTGTTGACAGTATTACAGATGTCCCCCATTTTCCCCACTCTTTGCCCCCCTCCACCCAGCCTCTACCCCACCCCAGGCCTTTCACCACTCTATTGTCTGTGTCTATGGGCTATGCATATATGCATACCAAATCCTTTGGTTTAATCTCTGATGCACACATACCCATTGTCAAATGTATTATTTTGTGTAAATC